TTCGCTGAATTCTCTTTTTCTTATTCAATGACACTATGGGTTATTTTAATTATCAATATTACTAGGGTAAGTTTAAGGTTAGAACAAACTGTTTTTGAATACACAAAAGGGGTTTGGATTTTCGTATGGCTAAGGCTTCAATAAACCTTAGTATACGAATTTTCGCACATTTATACAACACCACAAAAGCCGAGTTAAGATCAACCGGTTATATGTTTAGCAATAGAAAGTGATGGATGTTTATCCTCTGCTCTTATTGAGTCACTTGATTCTATTTGTTTCTGCAACAATTTTCGGTACATGTTCACACACTCTAATTTTGAGATCACGACTGCTCCTCTTTATGTATTTGTGACCACACACATTTAAATTGGTGAAAACAGTGGGATGTGACACAATCGTTTTCATGTCTTTTAGGTTTTGGATGAATCATGCACCTTGTTCTTTCTTTCATAATGACCTTTGCTGCGCAATACGTTGATGATTGATTTAAGCCTTTGTTTCAGTAAAAGGCAATTTGAATCACCTTTAAATGGTAAGGTGATGTAGACAGGCTTTTTTTCTACCAAGGCTACAGTAGGTTTCACTGTTCCATGAACTTTCCATTTATATATGAATTTCAAAGGGTAGCCATTTTCCACTAATGATTTATTTCGCAACCTAACATTATCATCAATGAAGTCATTTGTACAAATACGATCAAGCCTGTTGAATAGGCACCTTATCTTACCCCGTTTGTATTGCACGGGGCAATAACTATAATAACTAATGCTGAAGAAGTAGCCATCCGGATGAAGAGGCCGGAGTTATGCGTACAAAATAAATATCTTCAAGCACTCCTCTTCCCCTGGCCAACCTCAAGGCCAATTAATCAATGGTAATCTTAGCTATCGAATGACCTATTTTGACTATTGTACTTACGACCTTTTGTAGTCAAATGTAATAGTCTCTGTTATCTTTATTCACAAATCTTTTATTATATAAATATATATACCTCCTTATTACGTTTTACTAATTTTTCACACTAAACATTTGGTCGAATGGTAATAGCACTATTATTTCTCTGACCCTATCTGACCCATATTTATTCTGATCACGAGTCTTAAATTTCACTTAACATATAAGCTAATTCAAGTTAAGATCCTATGGGTCAGCTAACAGTCCAATTGATAGATATAAAGAAAAAACGACAAACAAAATGTTATTTTATGTAAGTCATATCAGCCATAACAATTTTATTCTATCAGAAGGGGGGTTTTGTGGATATTATAGTAATTTAATGGTTGAGTCTATGAGTCAACTGAAACTAGACCACTATGGAAAACCTGGAATCACTGGATGGCCGTTTCTAGTTTGTTTGACAATCCTAAATTAACATGCTTTAACTTTAATAGATGCGCTTTATCCTTAACCTGGCCATTTTACGGATCACTAATTTGGATATATAATTCTAGAACCTGAAGAGAATTTATCGAAAAGAATATTGTTCGTTCAAATATTAGTATTTTAACATGATAGGGATTTTTAAACGATTGATATATATCTATTAATAAGTAGGCATTTATTACTGAATTTATTCTAGCATAACAGATAAAAGTGAAGTTATTGAATATTGAATATAATGAACATTATTGTTTAAATTAACGGTTAAAATATTCATTTTAATAGTTGAGATCATGAATCAGTAGAATCTAGGCCACCATGGAAAACCTGGAAGCACTGGACGACCATTTCTTCCTGTTGTAGGATTCCTCAGCATTACCCATCCACGACCTCGCCTCGCGGGATTTGAACTCATGATCTCAACTATTGAAATTACTACAATCTCCACAAAACCCCATTCTGATAAAAATCACTTTATGATAATGACTCATTAAAAAAATACTATCGATACATTGTAAATTTGATTAATAAAGTTTAGTCATCATTTCATATTTGACAATATGATGATTATGGATAAATGAAACTAATAACTAATAGTCATAGTCATGATTTACTATTATGAATATAGAAATCTAAAACAAACATTCATACATATAGATAAATAATAAAATTAATTAAATTAAATCAAATTTCTATTAACTGATCACCGGATTCTTTTAATTCATTTCGTATATCTTTTTTTATTTTTTAAAAAATTTTTTAATTTTTTTGGCGGATATTCAAAATCATAAATTTACATATTATTTAACAAAACGATATTGTACATTATACAAGAACAGATTGAAATGATATTTGATTTTTATTTTAATTAATCTGTTAAACTTTCAGCGAGATTCTAATTTATGAACGACCTTTGAACGAATCTTAAGCGACCTTGAGAAACATTAGCCAATCAGCAAACAGTCAGTATAGAGTAAAATTATGTTATACAAAACCAAGGAAATAAAGTGGACACACTTCTTATACGTGGTTCAAAAACTTGTCAAGGTTAGAAAGAGGTTCAGAGGTTTTAAAATCGTAATGCATGCAGTAGAGGAAATCACCCATACGGCTACAGAATAGTCGGCCTGTGGAGTCATGATAAAGTCTCAAAAACTCTTTCAATATCGACCACATAGCTTCAATATTATTTATGTGCACTCTGGTTGTTGAGTGCACAAAATGCTACTTTCGGATAACGACACGATGCACATAATAAGCCTATGTAGGAGTCTGTACACTTTCCCAACGTCCGTATATATTGTAGTACCTGGCTGCAGCCAGTGTTACTGGTGATTTTTTTCTCCAGTTCGCATTAATTGTCGCAATTTGCCTAAGAAATTATATATGCGGTTTTCATCACGAACTGACATCAGCTATAATGCCAGAAATGTATTTAGCCAGATGGATGAAAGGCTTTCGCGTTAAAATCCGAGATCTATTATCTTATACCTGATTGATTCGTCCACAAATTATAGTCTCGCCGTTTTATTTGTTATAGCCATTTTGTACAAAATTCCCTGTGAACCGATCGTACGTTAGCATTAATCACGGAAGTTGGCGCCGTAGCCTTGAAACCTCTAAAACGCTTCTAATTGGCTCGTCCATAAATTAGAGTCTCGCCAAACTTTCTAGTGACAGTTTTTTAGTTTTTACTAATAAATAAGTACTTTATTAAAATAAATTGATGAAACATAATTGAAATGAATCGTTTGACTTAGTAGTTAGTGTTATATCCCTACAGGAATAAGGAATGGTAACTTTTGAGAACTATTTATGGAACAGTATGATATATATTTATTATTGTGTCATTATTGAGCAATTAAACTATTCATATACGTCTTCCTCTTATTACAAGCTTTATTTTGATTTATAAACTATTATTATACAATTTACCATTCTTCAGTTATACTCAGTTTACTAATTACAGTCTGTTTGGTTTGTATGTAAACTCAGTATATTTTAAATACATAATTCATATCATAGAGGCTAAGATTCGTGATCTGAACTCAACAGGCAGGGCTTAGTAGGAAGAAGGATCGATAAAAACTCTAGACTACTTGTACGGGTTTTAAGCGTCATTGGTCCAGTAGGTAAATCATTGTTCCCTAATTGGCGGTATCATTACGTAATATGCTAATAAAACACAAGACCACACGTTATAACACTTAATAAAGTTCTAACATTTTGCTTTCATCACAAAAATCAATATGGTTTACATCACTTAAGAATTCATTTTATCTTACTTAAAAAAATATCTTATACAATAGGATGTTTAAATCATTTATTCTTCAGTGAGGTATAAATTTCGAAACTAGAAATAGGGATGTTTTTTACTTGTATATTTAGGACTGAAATTGATCAGTGAATTTAAAACTTCACGCCATTGCACAAGCAAGTGGCTATCAGGACTCAGTAGATAAGTGGATAACGCGATGTCGTTTGAGACAAACAGTGCTGGGTTCGAGTGAACATCAACTCTGGGATGCACGTATATAGAGCTGACAAGTCAGGAATAGGAGAAAATGCACATCGTGGATTCCACTGCTAGCCACTATACATCTTTGCTTAAAAATAGGGATTTTCATCAATAAATAACATTTTTTCTTAGGGACTACTGATAGTTATTACTGAAAATGTTGTTGAGAGAGTTGAATCATTAGTGATTATAACCTAATGATCAATAGGGATAAATATATATGCTAAGGAAGGTAATTTGTCCAAGCTTTAAAATTTCCATTCTTATTGCAGAATTTATTTTATAGAGGGAGAATAAACACAAGGAATTTCTTATTTTACTATACCCAATACTATTTTATTTCATAGTTCATATCACAAACTTGTCCTATCTAAACCACTACTGAAGACCAGAGTTCACTGGGTATTTGTCACGTCTTGCTATGATGTTCGTCAGGAAGGCTCATCCACCTTATCAGTAGGAACGAACAGAGGACTGTCAGTTACGCGTGAGAACGGATAAAATTTAGATCACTGAGCCATCATCCAATAGAGTACATGTCTAGCTTCAGTCAATCCGTAATGTTGCGCAATTAGCTCTCATTGCCTTGGGTGAATAACTATCTCACACTCGACAATGTTGATCTTTTATGCATAATAGTGTTTAAATTTAAATACAAACAAGCCCTAGTACTTATTGGAAACGATGTTCGCCTTGATATTTACAGATTTCTCAGATTGTTTCAGCACCATTATTGATCTGAAATTATTCGCAAATTTATTTTAGAATGGTAGTCAGACGATAGTAATTAAGAAGCATGTTAGTGAGAGGAAAAGGAAAATTAATTGTACTTTAGGGTTCATATTACAAGAGTTATTTACTGCTGAAACTGCTCTCATGATCTCACTTAATCATGTAGGAAACATAGGCAAAAAGGAGGTTGACCGGAACTTTCTTTTACTTTTATTGTCTCATTATCAATTAACGACATGAAATATTCAGACACTCACATAGGATAACACTAAACACTGAAAAAATCATAAAATGTCCCACAAACTATTTGACTACTAGTTAGTAGCTAGAAAATATGTCTCAAATAAATGTTTTATTTTATTTTCAGGTGACGGAAATACTGAAATTGATTCAAGTCGTATTCTTACAGAAAATTTCCAATTATCCTATTTCAACCCGGTCAAATCAGCACATTCGAAATCCTATAATATGAATATGTTGTTAGCAAGACCAATCTATGTAGCAATGGGGATATCATTATCTATTCTTTTATTTGGCCTTATCTTCCTATCATTTGCCTTGTTGTTTTATCGAAGGAATAAACTGGTACATATTTCTAATTGTCGGACAGTTTGTAGTTATTCATGCCACAATAGAAATAGAATTACTTCACCTATCAGTGAGAGAGTTATCTGTAAAAGTGCTACAGGAATATCAGAAAATACGGAGAGGCTACAAAATTGGAATCAACCGGTTTCTGTATTCCCAAATCAAAATTCAACAGATGAACCACTTTTATTAAATGGTATCAGTTCAATTGAAAGCATGAATCCGTCCACAGATTATCGATCGTCAGCACTAATTAAAACAGGAAGTAACTGGTTGAAACCAACAGGTTACACAACATCATCAGAGTGAGTTTGGTTTCGTAAATTCATACTAATTTTCTCCAGATATATTATAAATGTGTAAACTACTGGTTAGTAGAATGAATGGTAATTTACTGTTAAAATGAAGGTAAACACCTGGATATTCAGTACTTATGAAACTCAAGATATCTGGTAGATTTAAAAACACGACACTGAATAATATATTCAGTGATGTGATCTTAGAGATTAAAAGAAGCGTACTGTTAGAGTGGATGACGCTTAGTTCGAGTAAACTTGTTAATTGTGAAGAACTACCAGTCACTAAATAAAATATTAGTTTGAAATGATCGTCCAATACTAATATCATCTAGAGTATCATGAAAGACTAAACAGAATAAGATGCCGATAATCTCTTAATGTTATAACTATCTAGTTTGTAAGAATTCTTCAGCTAGCATTAATAAGCGAATAAGTTTAAAATCTATGTAACTAGAATAATATATTTAACAAATCCATCTGAAAATAGGGTAAATTATTAGAATGGGGATTTGTGGAGATTTTAGTTAATCGATGTAAGCTAAACTACCACTGAAAACCTTGAAGCACTGAACATTAACACTAACACTATTGGATGCTGGCTCAGTCGTTTAGACATTAAGTGTTCGCTCGCGAGGATCAAAAATCTCGAGTTAGAATCCCTTCATTGAGGGATCAGGGATGCACATTACTGAAGAATTCCATACTGAGAGGAATCACCAATCCAGTGCTTCCAGTTTTTCAGTGGTGGTCTAGCTTAAATAGACTCATGAATTCAACCATCATACTAAGTTAACCCTTCTTAATTTAATATATTAAATTTTAGAAAGAAAGAAAATGTCTATAAAGAGAATTTATTTACATATTACTGCAATCATTGTATATGTTGTTATTCTAATAATGATAACAATGTCAATAATGATATAAATGATTTTAGTCATTCAACAAATAAAGACTACAAATCATTTATTAATTTATCACAATTCAATAAAAGAATTATGACTATGGATAATACAGAAAATAATTATATTAATAATAATAATACTATTAATGATCATCATGTACATCCAGTTCTATGTGAAACAAGTGAGTTTAGTTTAAATACAGATAATCAAAAACAAGAACCAAGTAGTGTATCTACACCATTATTTAGTATCCATTCATCATCTACTCATCAATTACCAGATTTTATTGAATATAAAAAGTTAAATACTAGTAATCATAGTTATAATAATAATAATAATAAATCATTATTAATCAATGATCAAGATACATTTACATGGATACAAAATCAACAATCACGTAATCAGAATTCAATAAAACGTCAACAATATAATTATTGTAATCAAAAATTACAAAAAAATGCCAATTCAATACAAAAGAATACACAACGTCGAATTCATTCAATGCTTAATGACTTCAATGAAAATTGTTCTGATTCTGTTTATTTATATGATATTGATAATAATAATAATAATAATAATAATAATAATAATAATAATAATAATAATAATTCGGACTATGAACATATTAAGACAATGCCAAAACAGAAATTCATTGATATGGAAGCAAGAAAAAGTAACACAATACAAGTAAACAGTAATACTGATTCAGTCTCTCCTATATTACGTAATAATATAAGAAGAAATACAAATTGTAGTAATAGTAGTAGTGGTCATTTAGAAAATGAATCGATAAATCAACAATCTGTATTACCAATTCAATTTACTGATTTATTTTTTCCTCATTTACCACCACCTCCATCTTATCCACCGCCTCCTTTGCATCAACAGCACGAAACTCAACACAAAATTATTGACATTTTAAATCCTCATAACTCTACTAATACTACTACTAATAATAATACTAACAGTAATAGTGATAATAAAGTTTTAAATCATAAAAATACTCTATTTGTTGACTTACATCGATTTGATATACTTTTACAACGTCAAAGAGGTACTGGAAAAACAAGTAGCGGTGGTGAAGATAATAAGACAATAGAAAGTGAACAATCTGACATAAATCAAACTTGGAAAATGTCTGGTTCAAATGAAAATAGTAGTGAATTGAATACTGTTATATTAGATCATAGAATTATTCCTTCAAACAATAATAATAATCAATTTTCTAAATGTTCAACTGATTTAAACAAATTAACTGGACATAGAATTCTTGAAACAGATTTGATTGGTTTGGCAACTTTTCGTAAAGCTGATGAAAAAAGTGTAGATTTAGTTACACCATATGCACAATTTGATTTATCACCAGATTCAAGTATGTGTATAACAGCTGAATAATCAATGAAATATTATGATAATAAAAACAAAACAAAACACCCAGAATATTTACATTACATTACTCCTCTTTTATAATATGAAAACATATATATTTTAGTGTATTAAACGCATACATAATCAAAATGTAAATAAATTCATTTTACATTTGTCATTAAAACTGTACATTTTCACTTAATTTATACATAATGAACAATATTACTTTTAGTATTAGCCTTATAAACAAAGATGGATGATGGCCGATGGCCGATAGTGGAGTACAGAATGTGTGTTTCATCCTATTTGGAATTAGTCAGATGGATGTATCTGCATCTTAGAGTTGATGTTCATCCTGGGACTCGGACTCAGAACTATTCGCTTCAAACGACATTGCGTTAACAACTTATCTACTGAGTTCTGATAGCCAGTTGTTTGTGAAGATGGGACGTGGCTATCAAGACTCAATAGCTAAGTGAATAACGCGATAGCATTTGAAGCGAAAGGTAATGGGTTTTTTGGTTTTGAACATGCAATCAGGGTTAGGATTTCTTAAGATGATAAGAGACAATGATATTGTCTCGCTACTCGATCATCTCAGAAGTCGAAGATGATGAGATGTGGAAGTAAATCGAAATTATGGGTCGATGTCTCTTAGTGTATGACATTTAAGCTGATTAGTTATCGTGGGAGGTGAGCAGTATAGAGTATTTAAAACTTGTCTGGTTAGGATGTTCAACCGAGCTCCTTTAGTTATTAATGTGTCCAGCAATAATACTGTGCCTGGTATCATTACCGAAAACCTATAAAGTTACATATTTTGGGGATTTATTTACTGTTGGATTCTGACTGGTTGAGTCTTTGACAAATCTACCCTCTATATAACGTTTGTACAAAACTGCAAAGGCTGAGTTACGGTCAAGCATGTAAACTGTTTCGAATATATGTTTAGCAATAAAGAAAGATGGGTATTTGTCATCTGCCATTACTGAGTCATTTGACTTTATTTGTTTTTGGAGCCACTCTGGTACATGTTCAGATATTCTAACTTGAATATCACGAATACTCATCTTTATGTTTATTTGGACACATACAAGTAAATTGGAAAACATAGGGATTTGAAGAGCAATCGTTTACATTCTGTGTATATCTTCGGTGAACCACATACCTTGTTTTAAACAGAATATTAGTCAACTATGGTTCGTGTCTTTACCATAATTGTGTATTCGAGTCACCACTGTGTGGTAAGGCGATAAAGACAGGCTTGTCTGATTTCAGAAGACTAGTAGGTCTCACTTAAGATCTCATCGATTGCCTTTTTTGGAGGATAAACAATCTCACTCAGTGTTTTGTTTAATAAGCTCACCTTAACTAGATTAGTATCATTTATTTGGATAGAAACAATCCTATTAAATAGCCATTTATTATCTTCCTCTTCCATTTACCTCTCAATTTGGCGGGTTGATCATTGGTTTTCAATAGAAATACACCTTAACAAGGGAATGTGTGACCAGACAGTTCGAAGTATATTCAGCTTACATATCACATGAGTGAAAATAGCTTGATCTTGTATTTTCTTAAATTCTGATGTAAACTAAATTAGAATTCATAAAAATTTGGAAGACAAAACTCATTTAATGTTGCTAATTAAAAGACCATTTCAGTTTTTCTTTATTTCAAGACGGTATTTTGGAAATTGTAATCATTAATTGTGCATGAATTGACTTACTGATTAACTAAAGTTGAAGGCCATTAAACTTATTTAAACTATGTCTATAAATCGTATGTTTAAGCGTTGAGTTAAGAAGTATAATGCACTATCTGGTATCTGAATATTTTTAAATAATAATTTGAATACAACAGAATTATAGGTCGATAATTAGTGCTAATTTCTTAACAATAACAACAATTTATTTAACAGACATGGTTGAAATCCATTTGTCACAGCTACTTACTACAAGTTTTGGAAATCTATCTTGACTAGTGATTGGCTACAAGATAGATTTTCGAGAGTTCCAGCGTCTGTTGTGAAGTAGTTACTCACTGATGACAATGTGGTGATGGTGGTGGATTGGTTGAAGTTAGACATTAACACCACTGGGTGTCAGCTCAGTGATCTAGATGTTAAGTGTTCGCGCGCGAGACTGATGATCTTGTGTTCGAGTCCCTTTGGTGTGGGATCGTAGATGGGCACTAATGATGGGTTCTATAATGGCACGAAACGGCCGTCCTAGTTCTACCAGGCTTTCGATAGTTTTACAACATTCATAATATCAATCTAAACTCAACAATTAGTGCAGCGTTATACTGATAATAAAATCATTGTCAGATTGCCAATTGAAATTCTCGATTCTGAAGTGAATACGTTTGTTGAAGTAATGAATGAATCAGTAACAATAGAGAAAACGTCATAGAGCACAGACAACTGTATGTCTGCCAGTTTCTTACTCTTCTGATTGTTTCGATATACATGATTTCCTAGGTAAGATTGCACGACGATATATTTAAATTGTTTAACACTCAGCTTCTGTATATGTACAGCTAGCTGTTAGGTGACACGAAGAATACGTGCTACTCACTGAGTATAACTGGAGAAAATTGATGCTTCTATCATGAAAAATAATTCAGATGTCATTAATCGTGACCTATAGTTTACTGCTTCCTCAATCTTATCACGTTTTGCCAACAGGGAAAGAGATTTATAGAATAACTTAATGTTTAAATAAGCTATGTATTTTCTGGAACTACCAATCATTTACATTTGTCATCGATCAATCATTACTCACTATCTATCCTCTTAAATCACCGTTTTTCTTTTCCAAATGTACAAGAAGAGATCATGTTGTGCATCGTAGGACCTTGAAGAATGCACATAGCTATGATGGTTTGTGTTTTGGCTTTATTATGAAGATGGTTGATGATAGTTTTTTGAAATCTCACAAAAGCTAGCATATGTTATTTAGTGAAATACTAACCATTCCCTTCATTCTTCCGTATATATGGGTGAGGACTCTCATACATAAGTATTCATTTTTGAAGAGGAAAATGAAGAGACTCAATAATATCGTATTTAATGCATATTATCTTACGAAGAAGTTGCAGGAGTAAAACGGAAATCATGATAGTTGACTGTGCCAACCAGTATATCATTGTTATTATATTTAAGTGATTCACAAATGTTATTCCGGAGGAATTACTATTCTTTAGACAGGTTTGACCAAGCGAGAAGTCATCAGTATCTATTAGTTCGAAGCCTCATACTGAAAATTCAACTTTTCCACGTTTTCTCATTCATAATTATTCATAATGTGTTTATGCAAAGAAGATAACAAACCAAAGTATATTTATGTTCTTAATTGATTCATACAAACAAAAAGAAATTATCTTAATAAATTAAAACAAATGTGTTTGTGTGTGTGTGTACAAGTAAGGAATGTAAAATAAATAGATTTAATGATCCGACTGAATTTTCGATCTCTCTGAATGACCTTCATGACCTGAAAACAAAACACAAATAAACGATGGTATGTTATGTAATATTGCGTCCACAAGCTACATAAGACAATATAATCTCCAATAGCGGACAATATCAAATCGTGCAGTTACATACCATGAGACGTGATTGTAACGAATTTATAATTAATTAGATCTTTAAAATTAGATTCTCATTATGACTTTTACAACAAAAACTGACAGATTTGGCAACTGGAGATAATAAAATCAATATTAATTAGGCGATGATGAATGACTTCTGAATTTTACAGATGTTCACGAAACGATAATGAGTGGATCCATAAAGTTTGAAGGTTCACCAAAAAATTGTTTTGTATATTTACTTGAGTTTTTTGAAATATTTTATAGTTTCAAGATATAAATCGACACAAACGAATATTAACTGTGATTAGATGACAGACGTTTTGTTCTAGCTTGGAATTCTTCAGATGTGGGGAAGTGTGACAAACATACGATCGAATAGATAATTTCCAAGTCTCACAAAAAATAACACTATAACTAGTTATTAAATGAAGTTGCAAACTGAAGTAAAACAATTCTTCCGAATTTCTATGGCTTTACAGTGGTTTGGAATGAAAATGACATTTAGACTATGTAAATATTCTTCTCAAAAAACGTTACACTGTATATTATAACACTGATTAGTGAAGAAACTGGAATAGTTGTACAATCTCACAGTTACACAACAAATTGATTTAAATTAATAATTTTACAACAATATTTACAAGCATAGTCATCATATCCTATTTAATCCCCAGGGCACTTCATCCAATCAAACACAACCATTTTAGATTATAGTTCATATAAGAGTTGGCCATATCACATTGAAACGATCAGAACACCTGGTTGCCTTATACGAACTCATATCACTTGTGGAGTAGGAGAGATATCGGTCTACTAATCTAAAGAAGAGTTTACTGAGCAGCAGTTCGCTCCGTTCTTCCTTATTATTGTGCAACATGGTCATTAAGAGGATGAGATATACGTAGACTACTGGTATTACATTGTAGGTGTCCAGAATGCATTGCTTGTTTACAATGAAATTACAAAGTAAGAAATGTTTGGGTTAGGAATAGAGTATTAGGTAAAAATGGGAAATCAATTGATGAGGTAGTATATCTACTTCAACTGAGGTGGTTGGGACATGTGTTACTTTTGCACAACCACTCAATTCTTCGACGAGCAACGATGTATGATATAGGTGTACATTGAAGGAGAGCTAGGGCCGGACAAACCAAGACATCGCATCAGTTCATAATCACACTGAATATTGTAATGAGACATATATAGAGAGATGTAGATTTCAGCTTGGGGTCCACGCGATTATCGTAACTAATAGTTGGACACTGGAATGGAATGGTTCAAAATTGCTTGCAAATGATCAGGTAGATTCACTCCCAGTATTTCCTTAGATTTGAAGTCTATAAATGTTTTTTACTTCACTATTTTATAATTTCCTGTTGAACGGTGTTTTGGATACATAATATTTTCTATTATTACTGATACTACTACCATCTCTACTATTTTGTGATCTACCCTGACAATTTCATACAGACGACCTAATGGGCTATAGGAACTTGTACTCATGTGACAGATTTTACGTTGCGTTTGACTGATTGAAAATGATTACATAGATTTAAGATGATGAATTGCAAAATAGTCGAGATTATTGGAGCGTCGATGATACTGAGGAAAACTTTAAATTGAGAATATGACTCGAAAATACAGAGTGGAACTCAAGGTCTACAAGAAAATAACGAGTGAATGCATTCACGCTGTTGTGACGAGTTTTAAGCTGTGTGACAAAACGCATTCGACTGCTAATCGTGGTTTTCGTGTGGAACCCAAAACCAGGTAGTCTATATATACCTACGTCGCTCACACCAATAACTGAATGATTTCAATAAGGCTAACATCTGTTATTAATTTAACAACACTCAAATGAATATCTATACAAATAGGTCAACGTGAATCTACTGTTCCACTACTTAGTAGTTAAACAATGCTGAAGTGTCGGTCCCTAAGCGGTAAGAAATATCAATTACAATGTGTTCTGTAGTGGTATTTACATATATCTATGAACGCAATGTAAACTATATTAATTTCAAGGGAAACATAGTTCTCACAAACTTTATATTCTTATCGCATTACCTAGAAAAGAAATATTAGTGTCAACAATTTATAACAATGTTAAAATAAAAGTTATTTAATTAACGGAACATAATCAACAAAATGGTATGAATATCATTTTACTGAACTCAACATAGATCAATACACAAGATAAATGTACTTCGAAGTATGTAAATTGTGAAACATACTTTTTCACATTGACTGACATTACTTGGAATTGGTTATTACCATTAAGGTTAAGGTTTCAAAGCATTCGATGATAATTACGACGATGTGTCCACAGAACAACAATCATCGGATTCTATAACCGATGGCATTACATTGTTCGATTTATCATGTGCATTATTTGAAGTATCAGATGAATTTTGTCGAATAGCTGTATATAGATAGGGCGAAATGTTAAGGACGGGAAAAAGACATATGAGAGAAGTAATTGAATAAATGAGTAAATTCATATCATTAAAAAATAAATAACTCAATAGATAGAATACTTGGGTTATTTTGAAATATTGGCCAACCGAAGCCCCTAGTAATGGTGACAACTTGGACCAATATGCACTCATGGCATGTCCAATGTTGATAATGGGTGACTGGTGTTGTGTTCATTTAAAATTGCTGACGATTTACACGTGTTTTACTTTTATTATCGTGAGAAAATCTAACATCAACATATAAAGTTTAAAATCCTGGAGGACGTAGTCCTTTCACTACTGTGTTACACTCCAACAGCGAAACCAATACGACAACAGGGTATACTATGGAGTGAATCAATATGAACCTCAATCTTCCTCGCAGTTTATGAACACAATCAGATGTATGAGGCAGAAAAGCATATAACTCTATTCAATATGAAGTTTTCAACAAATCTGTCGTATTAAAGAAAACGTATAAGAAACATACCATATCGTAAAAATGATTTCCAGATAAAAGTGAAGCAGTGAGCCAACGGTTTGCCAAAAGTTGTCATTAGAAACTGCATTTATTGCGATATGTTAGGAATAACGAATATTCTTATTTCTATTCAGTATTATGATAGAAATACTGATGAGACTAACTTTCTTGACTCGGTGTAGTCAAGCATCAATCTAATTTTGTCACATGAGAATAACGTTACGTTAGGGTGATAAGATGACAAGATAAGAGCTTACTTTTGTGTTGGGTACGCTATTTGAGATGGATGGTTTAACTGTGGAGGTCTCAATGATGTTTTAGTAAGAGTTTATTTAGTTCGGTTGATGTATGATTATGTGGATGACTGATGATTTCCATATTCAATATTAATTCTCCTAATGCTGTAGTGTTTAGTCAGTGATATTTAAAGTGGAATCAGGCACATCGATGGACATTTTTGACATTTTCTCTGTACGTATTGATAAATGTGATAATACGGATATGAATTTAATTGGTAAAGTGTCAAAATATGCAATCTAGTAAGCTAAAAAAAACCAGAAAATTTCTTGAAGTACGGCATTCAGGTTACCTAACATATCGAAGTGGATACAAATGATCAGTTTTTATGATGAATCAACCAAATGATGATTAAATTGAGAGTAATAATTTATCATAATCTTCTGAATTCTTCATGTCCCTTCTTTCTCTTTCGAAATTTATTACACTGGATTAACATCTTGAAACACTTATTTTTTTGATTACTGCTTATACTCTTACTATCTCTACCACCATGAGATTTGAATCGACAATTGTATCTGTGTGCTATTGTGTTATGACAACTCGACCTGATGTACGTACGTACGAAGTTCTACGTTGTTGACTGACTGAATGAATGAATTATCATATACTAAAAATTATTTTGGTTCAAAAATATTAATGATATTTGCACCAAATATTCAATAAATCAAAAAATATTTAGGGCAATAACTCACCTGACTTAATTCTGCCTCGATGTACAGGAAGTTTTTTCGAAAAATCTACATTCTTGGCATCGATTATGTTCGTAGATTTTTTTAAAGACTTGAAAGCATCTGTCAATTCCGTAAGCATTTCTATACTGGGAGATTTTAAATTATGTTTATAATTATATGAAACTGTTGTTGATAATCTTCTGACAGGTTTCACTCCTGAATTTTAAGTAAATTCGAATGTAATTTTTTATAAATAAGAAAGATACATACAATCAGGACAAAAGTTATGAAAATTATTTATCATTTTATAAATTTTGGGGAAGAAAGATATGAAATTTAGGGGCTTGACTTATGAAACAATAATCTCCAACTCCAGCAAGAAAAATAAAAGTTTTCCAAAAACAAGGTAAACACATTGTATGAATTTGGATCCGCCAATGTTGCTAATGTCTTTGGCAAAGAGAACGGAACATAAACAACTAATATCAGAGCATAAGAGGTAGTGGTAGAAATACTTACGCCTGTTACTCCTAGTCGAGCATAGGCCACCGATCAGCATTCTTCGACGTAATAACATAGATCAATTACACAGAATATGATTACAGAAGAATCAGTTGACGCAGTAAAAAAGTAGAACAAGTTTAAGATGTAGTAACACGCGACAGATATGGAACTAACATAGCTACAAATAACAACGAATTAAGACAACGACACAGAAAATAGCTTCGTGTAATCTAACAATCAAAACCATAACAAAATTACTAAGTTACAAATGTGGAAAAGTCAGTGGTAAAATTAATTTCCTAAAAATGAAAAAATTGATTGTTTAATTAATTACAGCGAAACAAAGGATCAGTTATCATTTCGTGAATCACTCATTTCAACAAAGTACCAATCGGACTTACCTGAATCTTTAAGTGATGGATCCGAATAATTAGCACGCATAGTGGAGTTCCGTTGTAAAGACGATGGAGCTGGTGGTGGGGGAGGTGGCGGTGGCAGTGGTATTACAGAACGACATTCTTTCTCAGATTCCTAAGAGCAGTAAGAGAAAGTATCAACTACAATCACGTCATGTGAATAAAAATGACAAATTAAACTCAAGTACAACATCATCCGATTAGACTGATCAGACATTATGCTTACATTGCATACATACCAAAAAACATTGATTTTCCACATCCACATGGAAAAGAGACAATGAAACAGTCACAAATGGAATCCGCTCACCATAGAAATACAAAACCACAATAATACATTTACTAAACACAACTCAATATTTTAAACGAGTTAGTCAAAACGCTAATGCGTGCGTAGAAAGGAATCTAAGGTCATTGTGACTGTAAGAAAAACCAACACACACAGTACAGCTTCCACAAAAGACAAATGACAAATCGTGTGATAGTTTTCAAAATAACACTGATCACTCTTATTAGTCTATTCTACAGATCAGAATCAATGGTAAATATATTTATTTTATGAACAAGTAGGACATAAATTATCTGAAAATATTGGCTTCAGTTTGTGTGGCGCAAACTCAGTGTCTAGAAGACCATTTATAACTCCGCCTTCAACCCTTCTAGGTTCACTGCTAGTCCCAAACTCGGATAAGGATGCAATTTTGGGCATGGGTTTATTAAACCTTTCTGAAAAATAGCTAATCAGAAAAATCATTTCAATCATTCAAACTCGCTCCTGTGAGTTGAAGGACAATAATTCAGAAGAGTCATGACGGCCTCAAGTGGAAGACGAGATTTTCTAGAAGTCATGAGTACGATGCCCCTTCTGACAACCAGAGCGACAATTAATATAGGTACATGGAATATCCAAACAGTGGAGGAGACCGGGAGGACCAATGACTCCTCAAAACTGAAATTCTTCGCTACACTTGAGTCATTACTCAAAACTACCGGAATGAGTGAAGAAAACAACATAAAATAAGACAAAATATAGTACCACTAACTCCACGAATGAAAGACAACACGCAACAGACTTTGCAAGAACAAAAGGCTTTAAAGATACTCAGAATCAGAGAAGGTATTGTCATCGTTGCAGCGGACAAATAACACATCACAGTGAATATGGACAAGGAAAAATATATCATGAAAGTCGAGGAACTACTTGGGGATAAAAGAATATCTACACCGGTGGACACAAATCCAGTCAAAGGGTTAGACAACTGAATCTCAAAGACTTTAATCAAGCTCGTCAAAGTAGGACAAATATCAAAGCACAAACCAAACAACCCACTAGGTAGAATTGTAGCACTTCCGGAACACCAGAAAACAACTTATCATGAGGAATATCACGAATATTGAAACATTTAGTGCATTCGTCCAAACACTCCATCAAATCCCCAACACAATTCCTTGACCACATTTACCTTACACCCAATAAAGCATAGGACGCCGACCACCACTCTCCAACACTCTCTGTCCTCAAACTTCCTTTCTAGTTCTATCCTATTGTTGTTCATTCTTCTCATGTCTATCTCCATTTCTCAGCATAATGCGTTCTTTGTTCTTCCTCTCCTCCATTGTCCTTTGGGATTCCAAGTGAGGTCTTGCCTTGTGACGCAGTTCGGTGCTTTCTTCAATGTGTGTCCTGTCCATTTCCAGCGCTTCTTGATTTATTCCTCTGCTGGGATACAGTTTGTTCTCTCCTACAATAGGTTGTTGCTGAAAGTGTCTGGCTAACGGATCTGAAGCATTTTGTGTAGACAACTGTTAACAAACACTTATATTATCTGGATGATGGCTTTCGTAGTTCTCCAAGTTTCCTCCGTATACAGCAGAACTGACTTGACATTTGTATTGAAAATTCTGACTTTGGTGTTGGTTGGCAGTTCCTTTGAGTCCCAGATGTTATTCAGTTGTAAATATGCTGCTCTTGCTTTTCCGATCCGCGCCTTCACATCTGCATCAGATCCACACTGTTCATCAATGATGCTGCCCAGATACTTAAAGGTCTTTACATCCTCCAAAGCTTCTCCGTCAAGTGTGATTGGATTGGTGCACGCTGTGCTGTATCAGAGAATCTTGCTTTTCCCTTTGTGTATATTGAGACCTACTGCTGCTTAGGCTGCTGCTACACTGGTCGTCTTCTTCTGCATTTGTTGTTGCGTTTGCGGTAGGAGGGCCAGATCATCTGCGAAGTCTAGATCGTCTAGCTGCATCTTAACTTTCCACTGTATTCCATGCTACCAGATGCTAACGTTTTCATAGTCCAATCGATCACCGGGTGAAAGAGAAAGGGTGAGAGTAAGTAACCTTGCCTGACGCAGTTCTTTACCTCGAACGAGTCTGTCAGTTGTTCTCCACGCATGAATTTGCAATTTAATCCATCATAGGAGTTCCGTATGATGTTGACTATCTTCTCGGGCACGCCGTAGTGTTGAAGAAGCTTCCATAGTGTTGTCCTGTCCATTCTATCAAATGTTTCTCATATTCGATGAAGTTGATGTAGAGTGATGGATTCCATTCAATTGATTGTTCCACAATGATCCGTAGAGTTGCGATTTGGTCTGTACACGATCTATCCTTACGGAATCCAGCCTGTTGGTCTCGAAGTTGGGCATCAATGGAGTCCTTCATTCTGTTTAACAATACCCGAGTGAAGAATTTTCCTGGTATTGAGAGACGAGTGATGCCCCTGTAGTTATCACACTTGCTGAGATTTCTTTTCTTTGGTATTTTGATCAGAAGTCCCTCTTTCCAGTCTGTTGGTACTTGTTCTTCATCCCAAATATTGTTGAAGGGAATCCGAAGTATCCCTGCCGTTACTGCTACATTTGCTTCCAGTAACTCTCCTGGAATGCCGTCTGGTCCTGTTTCTTTGCCGCTCTTGATTTGTCTAATGGCCATGCTGGTCTTTTCAATTGTTGGTGGGCCAACATCGATTAGGAGGTCCGTGGGTGCTACTTAGATGATGGGTAGATTCAGTGGAGCTGGTCAATTCAACAGTTCTTTGAAGTGTTCTACCCACCTGTTTTGTTGCTCTTCAATGTTGGTGATTACCTCGCCTTCCTTGCTTTTCACTGGTCTTTCTGGTTTGCGGCGATTTCCAGAGAGTTTCTTTGTCGTGTCATACAGTTCTCTCATGTTTCCTTCTCTTGCAGCCTTTTCCGCCGTCGTTGCTAAATCTTCCACATAGTTACGTTTGTCGGTTCTGATACTCCTCTTCACTTGTTTGTTTATTTCAGTGTATTTAGCTTGTACCTTAGCTTTCTCTGCTCTCGTTCGGCTGATATTAATTGCTGTCTTCTTGTTCCTCCTTTCTTGAATCTTATCCAGTGTACCAACAGTGATCCATTCCTTGTGGTGGTGCTTCTTGTGACCCAGGACCTCATGACATGTTGAAGTGATTGCCTCTTTGATCCCCTTCCAGTTGCTCTCCATAGTAGTTCCTTCTCCATTGAGTAGATCATGAAAGGCCTGGAACTTATTGCTGAGGACTATCTTGAATTTGTTGAGTTTGTCAGTATCCTGAAGAAAGGCCGTATTGAACTTTTGTGATGTTGTCCGCCCCATTATCCAGTGCTTCTTGAGTTTCAATTTCATCTTGGCGACCAGTAAGTGATGATCTGATGCTATATCAGCTCCTCTCTTTGTTCTCACGTCCTCTATAGTCCTCCTGAACTTTTGTTGATGCAAATATGGTCGATTTGGTTTTGTGTAGAGTGATCCGGTGAAGTCCATGTGGTTTTGTGTATGCGTTTATGTGGGAATATGGTGCCGCCTATGACCAGCTTATTGAAGGCACATAGGTTTGCAAATCTCTCACCATTTTCGTTTCTTTCTCCCAGTCAGCCCATGATGTCTTCATATCCAGTGTTGTCCGTTCCAACCTTGGCGTTGAAATCTCCCATCAGAATGGTCAGGTCCTTTGTTGGGCACTTCTCGACGATTGACTGCAGCCTATTGTAGAATTGATCTTTAGCGTCTTTATTGCAGCCGTTGGTAGGTGCATAGGTTGGATGACGTTCATTGAAATGCCCTCTTTCTTTGCTTTGAAGGAGGCTTTGATGATCGTTGGTCCATGAGATTCCCATCCGATAAATGCTTTTTGTGTTCGTTTGGATAGCATCAGTGCAACTCCTTGTATATGTGGGGCATTTTCTTCTCCATGGCCGGAGTATAACAACAGCTCGGCTGAAGCTACGCTTTGTTATCCAACCCGCGTCCAATGTGTTTCACTGATTCCTAGCACCTCCAAAT